TTTATTTTGATAAAGGTTTTTAAGTACCTTTTGAAAGCTTTGCTCTTAATATATTTGTTCTATTCCTTGCCTTGAAATTTTTAGGATTTTTAGGATTTGAAAATTTTAGGGTTGACACCTTTGACAAGCCACTACCAGCTTTTTCCCTTCCTAGGATACCCCCCTCCCGGCCCCACATCCTTACCCAGACTGCAACGTGGTCTCCTATGGCCTCCCCAGGCAGCCTCTCCTATTGTGTAAAAGCTCTGATTGTTAAAAAGTCCTGCTATCACTGCATTCCAAGGAGAGTTTTGAATCCCTTTTTAAAATTCAGCAGCGTGGGATTCCTGGGTGGCTCAGCCAATTAAGTGTCTACCTTCGACTCAGGTCATGACCTCAGGGTCCTGGGATCGAGCACCACATTGGGCTCCCAGCTCAGCGGAGAGTCTGCTTCTCCCTCTCCCTCTTCTTGTGTTGTTTCTCTCCCTCCCTCAAATGAATAAATAAAATCTTAAAAAAAATAAAAATAAAAAATAAAATAAAATTGAGCACAGAGCCTTGTTTAAACGAGGTTTTTTTTTTTTTTTTTTTAAAGATTTTATTTATTTATTTGTCACAGAGAGAGAGAGAGCGAGCACAGGCAGAGAGAATGGCAGGCAGAGGCAGAGGGAGAAGCAGGCTCCCCGCCAAGCAAGGAGCCCGATGTGGGACTCGATCCCAGGACCCTGGGATCATGACCTGAGCCGAAGGCAGCTGCTTAACCAACTGAGCCACCCAGGCGTCCCTTAAACGAGGTTTTTATAATGGTAATGTTCTAGTCCTGAAGTAAGGAGATGACTACATACTTTTCTTTATGTGCTAGAATTTACCTTAATGTTACATGAATTCTTTTTTATATATTGAGTATTTTTATAATAACAAATCTTAAGAGGAGCAATTCATCATTCTTTTTTCTATTAGAAATATTGTTATATAAAAGGCCTCCACACAAACTATCTCAGGGCCGTCTGGGGGATAGAAGAGAATATCTCCAAGACTACAACCCAGACCCCAGCCCCTGGGGAGTTTTCCCTGGCAGTCCATCAGGCTCCCCACAGTCATATGCACCCCCCCAATCACTTCTCCACAGGGCAGCCAAACTCATTTTTTTCTGAAAGTTCTATCTGATTATGTCCCTCTCCTGCATAAAACATTTTAATAGTCTCTCAACAGTCTGAGTAAAGAGCAAGATACCTACCACAGGCCACAGAGCCTGACACCAAGTATGTCTCTCACCTTGTCTTGTTTTCTGCCCCTGCCCTCCATCTTCCGTGTCCTTAACTCCTCCCATGTGTCATGCTCTTGAAGGTGCCATTTTGTCTGCCTGAACACTGTTTCCACTGCACAAACCACTCCTTGCCAGGGGTATATGTTTTCTTTTCTCTTAGGTAAATACCTAGGAGTGAGATTGTTACGTTATATGCTAAGTATATGTTTAACTTTATAAGAACCTGCCCAGTTGTTTTCCAAAGTAGCCATACCAGAAATGGACAGCAGCATACGAAAGCTCCAGTTGCTTCAAGTCCTTGCTAGCACTTGTCATTGGTAGTCTCTGTTATATGTTATATTTTTAACAAAGCATAGAATGATATCTGATGATGAGGTTCTGTGAAAATGCATAGAGGATGAGTAACTCCTTTGAATTCATTTCAGTGAGAGCGCTTGGTCTCCCCCTCTAAGCCTTCATTGTAATAACCTTTCACCAAGCTGCTGTGAAAACACGGGGATTTAACATGCTTAACCACAGAGATTGTTTTTCAGACTGAATTGATGAAGTACAGCAGCTTCAAAGTCTTCACTTAACATTTCTATAAAGCCCTGACCACGACTTGTCTGCTGGAATCAATGTGGTGAGTGTGAAGGTCACATGTGTGGAAATGTCACAAAGGGTATAGTCACAAAGGGTGTGAAGACTTCCGGGAACGGAAATACTTTTGAAGGTTGGTTAACATATTTTCCAGATCATCTTCTGGTTGAACTCCTCAGAAGACTACCAGTGAATTCTTTTTTTTTTCCTTAACACAAAATCTAAATGTTCATAAACACTTTAAGATGCAGGTACCTTTGACAACTCTAGTTTGCAATGCTGAGTGTAAGTGTGGCTAATATTATACCAATTAAAAGGCTGACATGCACATTGCTTGAGGTGTTTTATAGACAATTTGCTTTTTATGTCATCAGAATATTCCAGTGAGAATGTTTTTGACTCAGAGGTAATAGAAGCCTGGCTCTGGAGCTAGCCTTTGCTAAGGTAACATATTAATGAGTCATCAGAAGCTATAAATAGAATTCAGCATGAACTTCTGTCCACAAGTACACCACTGTTCCCACAAAAAGAGCTTTTACTAATGACAGGACATGGTCTGCTTGCCACTGTTGCAGCTGAGGGGAGGGGGGTGGACTTAGATAACCACAACTTTGTGGGAAATGTGCCTTGAGGTATGATTTGTCAAGATGTCATTATGTACTTTCTTGATTTCCCTTACAGGCAGTGAAGAAGCACTTGTATTGTTTTCCTTAGGGATCATCACTGCATAGGCCAGCCAAGATTTTCAATCTCTCTCACATGGTAAATCGCAGACGATAATCGCCTTAAGGCATTTATTTATCTTCCTTCTCTTTGTCTCTTCCTCCCACCCAGCATATAGCATAATAATCATATAGAGCAATAACGTGTGCCTAGGAGGGCACCATAATTATTTATTGAATGCATAGATGGATGGGTAAGTGTGTTGGCTTTATGCCTCCATATAATACTCTGGAATTTTGACCTTTTGCATATACAAGTCAATAGAGTCAAGTCAGTTTCCTATGTAACACACATTATGTTCCCCCATTCAAAAATATATCTCCATGAGACTTCCTACCAAATTTTCTCACACTTCTGCCCTGCTCATTTCTTCAGGTAATAGTAGGATAGGATATAATATCACCTGCAAGTAGAGAGAGAGTGAACATGTTAAGATTCTGCCATTCACCACACCTTAAGTCCAATTTCATGCCAGTTCTTAAGGGAAGATAGGATACAGAAAAAAGAATATTGAGGGAAGAGGAGTGGTCAGAAATGATCAAGTACATAGTCTTGCTGAGGTAGACAGCCACAGAGCTCTCCACCCTGAGAATCTAGAAAGGCACCAAGCTCTGGGGGAAGAAGTCCAGGAAGGAAGTTAAAGTCTCTACCCCCCCCCCCCGCCCCCCAGTTGTCCCTCCTCCTCATGACTAAGTCTGTAGTAGCTGCTCCTGGCCTGCTCCTGCTCCTCAGCCTGAGGAAGCAGGGGAGACAGGAAAGGCAAGGTGTATGTGGAGGGTTGTAAATCCCTTTTTGCTCATGGTCAGATGCAGTCTAGGTGGACAGGAAGTTTAGTCAGTGATTTCTTCATTACTGGTTCCAGTCTGAACTGTAACCTCCTTGTGGTCCAACCCCCAGTTCCCACACCTCTCCTTTCCCCTCCCCAACATCATACAAAATAACCTTCCTCCAGGCCTTCCTTCACCTCTGCTTTAAGTACAGTCTTGTCTGCCTTTCTTGTCTTCATGTTTCAGCTCATGAAACCCAATGGGGAAAAGGCAATGATGGCCAGGCAAGTGGAGAAGACAAGTGTCAGAAATTCTGCAATATTGACACCAATTTATCTAAAGAGGCTTCTATTACAGGGAGAAAGGAAAGGTAGAGAAAATACTCCCATGGCAGACTAGGGCAGGATCCCCTGGAGCTAGTAATAAAAAAGCTGAAGTATGTGTTTTTCAGATTCTAAGACTCAGTACTCCCAGAGATGCACAGAGCTTGGAATGACACCTGTCTTTTTTTTTTTTTTAAAGATCTTACTTATTTATTTGATAGAGATAGAGTGAGAGAGGGAACACAAGCAGAGGGAGTGGGAGAGGGAGAAGCAGGCTTTCCACAGAGCAGGGAACCCGATACAGGGCTTGATCCCTGGACCCTGGGATCATGACCTGAGCCAAAGGCAGATGCTTAATGACTGAGCCACCCAGGTGCCCCTGACACCTGCCTTTCAGAAGGACTCCTTACAGCCCACTGGGGTGGTGGTTGAGGGAAACCCTGGGGGTCTGAGCTCAACTCTGAGCTCCACTTCCCAACTACCTTCTTCTGTTGGCTTATTCCTTCATTGACAGAGCAGCTGGGAACATCTGAATCCTGGAAGAGGTTCATGTAGGAGTATCCTTTGGTTTCAAATTGGCTAGAAATACAAGTGACACAGAAAAGACAAAAACAGAAAGCATAAAGATACAGGGATGTCAAGGAGGGAAGCAGTCTAAGGCAGGATTTGAATAGGGAATGGAGGACCAGAGAGACCCAGAGAATCCTCTCTCTGTCTCTCCACTTCAGTGTTTACAGTGAAAGATAAATCCAGAACTAAGGTCACACATTTCACTCTCCTATGCTTTGGACATAGCACTGGCTGGTTGGTTTGGCTCATATGTGTAGGGCCAGCCATATGTTGGCAGAGTCAAGGTTATGAACATAAGGTCATCTGTTGCACATCTTGTGCCAATGTAATGAGGTGTGATCTATTCAAATGTTGCAAAAAGCAGTTTTATCTCTACTGATGAAAAGTAAAAACCCCAGAGGGGTAGGAATTGATAGCCACCCAATCCCAAGCATCCAAAATTACTCTGTAGAATGTCTCAACAGACTTTGGGGTTGGCATGTCCTTGGTAGTCCTCCTTGAGAAGAATCTAGCCACACGCTCTAATCCAGGAGAAGCTGACCTGGGCTTGATGTCAGTTCCTTAGAGCTCTGGTTAGACCAGAACAGAATTGTGATGACCTAGAATTCTAGGTCCATTCAAACCAGGAACAATCTCCAAGAGGGTGCCTAAACTACAGGTTTACCTTCTAACCACCAAGAATTGTTAAGACTCCCCAAACTTTCTAAAGAAAATTCAGTTTGTTACAGATTCATGAGTTGAAGATGGGGCCCAAGTCTCAGTCTGTTATCCAGCCTCTAACAAGACATCTTGAGCATGGAACCCACCCAGATACAGCCTCCCAAGATCAAGACTTCCAAACTCAGAAACACCTGGGGAGCATCCTTCTTAATTGAGGTAAAACTTACATAATATTAACCATTAATTATTTTGAAGTATACAGTTCAGTGGCACTTTGCACATTCACAGTTTTGTATATCCATAATGTGTATCTCCTTCTAAGACATTTTCATCACCCTGAAGGGACACTCTGTAGCCATTAAGAATTCATATCTGGGAAGTAATCAGAGAGGGAGACAAACGATGAAAGATTCTGGAGTCCAGGACATACACCGAGGGTTGCAGAAGGTGGGGGAAAGGTGAATGGGGTGGCAGGTATTAAGGAGGGCATGTGTTGTGATGAGCACTGGGGGTTATATACAGCTGATGAATAGTTGAACACTACATCAAAAACTAATGATGTACTATATGTGGGCTAACTGAACATAATAAAAAAATAATAATTCATACCTGGGGAGCATTTTAAGAGTCTCATGCTCTACTGACTGAGCTAGCCAGGTACTTCTGAGGAGCATTTTAAAAGTACATATCCCAGGACCCCACATCCAAGAGATTATAATTCAGTGAACATAGAAATATTTTCCACAAGATTCCAGGTATCCCATTCCTAGATATTCTCGTCCCAGAAGAAACGAAAATGTATGTCTACCAGAGATCATACAAGTGATTATAGCAGCTTTATTTACAGTCATTCATACTTGGCAATAACATAAATATCTCTCAGTTGGAGTTATAAAAACAAACTGTGATAAATCCCTATAGTGGAAGGGTTCTCAACAATTAAAAGGAATAAATTTTTGATACAAAAATAAGGATGAGGGCAGCCTGGGTAGCTCTGGCTATTGATTTCAGCTCAGGTCATGATCTCAGGGTCGTGAAATCAAGCCCCTTGTTGGGCTCCAGGAAGCATGGAGTCTGCTTAAGATTCTCTTTCTCCCTCTGCCCCTCCCCCTGCTTATGCGTGCACTCTCTCAAACAAAACAAAACAAAACAAAAAACAAAAAACAAACCAAACCCAAGGATGAATCTTTAGTGTATTATACAAAGTGAAGGAACCCACTGGCCAAACTATATTCCATTTATATGACATTCTGGAAAACGCAGATTAGTGGTTTTTTAGAGTCTAAGAATGGAGAGCAGGTGGTTTTGGGTAAAAGGAGACAGCACAGGGGAATTTGGGGAGGGGTAGTTAAACAGTTCTGTATCTTGACTGTGATGGTAATAACAAGTATTTGTCCGGGGCACCTGGGTGGCTCAGTGGGTTAAAGCCTCTGCCTTCGGCTCAGGTCATGATCCCAGGGTCCTGGGATCAAGCCCCGCTTCGGGCTCTCTGCTCAGTGGGGAGCCTGCTTCCCCCTCTCTCTCTGCCTGCCTGTGATCTCTGACTGTTAAATAAATATATTTAAAAAAAAATCTTAAATAACAAGTATTTGTCCAAATGCATAGAACTTAATACCAAAAAGTGAATTTTACTCTATTTAAAGATTTTTATTCAGGGGCACCTGGGTGGCTCAGTGGGTTAAAGCCTCTGCCTTCGGCTCAGGTCATGATCTTGGGGTCCTGGAATCGAGCCCTGCATTGGGCTCTCTGCTTGGCGGGGAGCCTGCTTCCCCCTCTCTGCCTGCCTCTCTGCCTACTTGTGATCTCTCTCTCTCTCTCTCTGTCAAATAAATAAATAAATAAAATCTTAAAAAAAATTTAAAGATTTTTATTCATTTATTTTGAGAGAGCATGCTTGTGAGCACATGCAGGAGCAGGGGTGGGGGGCAGGGGCGGATAGACAGAAAATCCCAAGCAGTCTAGTCTCTAGGGCAGAGCACAGAGCTCCATGTGGGGCTCAATCTCACTACGCTGAGATCATGACCTGAGCTGAAACCAAGAGTTGGTTGCTTAATCAAGTGAGCTACCAAGGCACACCTTACTTTCTTTAATTTAAAAATAAATTAGAGGGGTGCCTGTGTTGCTCAATTGGGAAGTTCTGCCTTCAGCTCCGGTCATGATCTCAGGGTCATGGGATCCAGCCAGGTATTGTGCTCCCTGCTTGATGGGGAGCCTGCTTCTCCCTCTGCCTGTGGCTTCCCTTGCTTGTACTCTCTCTCTGTCAAATAAATAAATAAATTCTTTAAAAAAAATAAATTGGGAAACATTTATGATGTGTAGCCTGTTTGGCAAATGAGTACATAGATAATGCTGGTCAACCAAGTTATTCTATAACCCAATCGAATTGCACTTTGGACACCTAGGACCAGCCAACTTACCATTATATTTCTCTGGTTCTCATCACAGTATTTGGACATATCAAGCAACTAGAAGTACAGGAGTATATTGCCATGCCCAAGAGTATAGTATGTATCTGAGTATTGACAAATTACAGGACATAGGCTATGTAGTGGTTTTGTTGCAGGGTTTGCCAAACTAAAATCCCCACACCAATGTGGTGACTTTAGAACTTTCTTTAAAAATTTGAGTTGTACTTTATCTCTTAGATTAGTTGTAATCAGAGTAATATAGAAATCATTTCCAGTAATGGAGATTAGAATGCAATCTATGAATTTTCCAAAAACATCATGCTTGACAACTGAAACATTATACTTAAACAAACATCATATTTAACAATTTATTTTTAAAATTAACCTGGAACCAGAAACCAAAAACGAGTTTTTATATGATAAAACCCATGATCCTAACCAACTCCATGGTAGGCCATTTGGTTATTTTCCTAAAATTTGATGCCTGTTTTATATAAAGGAAAACAATGACAAGCACACCATCACAGAGTCCTGGATCCCTTTATTTGTGAAAAAAATCTATGGAAAACAAATGAAAATCATGGGCAGATATTTATGTAGGACACCAGCCCTGTTAGTTGTGGGACTAGCCTGTGCTCAGTCTCACGTGAAACACACACACACACACACACACACGCACACACACACACAAAACCCATATCCTGCTGTGGCTGATCATCTACTCAAACAAGGTGGCTAAAATACAAATAGAAACTCCCAGGTATAGGAAGAAAAGAAGCAAGAAGTAGGCAATGGTTAGATTAGAAGATAATGCTAATTGCAACTGTGAGACCAAAGGGGGAAAAAATACCACAAAGCAAAACATGTAGTGAGGTAGATCCTATCTGTTATTTCTATCCCCGTAGAGTATATTTTCTAATTTGCAAATCTCTTTGCCTGCCCTAATCTCAAGCTATTTCTAACACTATTGCTTCCTCATCAGTTTGCAAACCCTAGCTACAGCTCTCTCTGAGGCATTCTGTTCACATTGCTTCTTTTTTTAGAGCTGCTTATGCCCGAGAGGGAGGAAATGGAGCTACAAGTGTTTCCTTTCCATTTAAAACTGGCACTTTCTTGTAGTGGGGGAGGTAGCTGAGGACTAGCAGCTTGCTCCCAGCAGCTTGAGATAACACTGAGTTTTCTTTCCTATAAGCCTCTCTTGAAGTCCTTGTGTTATAAATAATTTATAAATTTTATCACAACCTCCAGGAAGCAAGTTGGACCAATTTTCCTGATGCCAGATGGCTCAGCAGACTTTTCAGATGTTGCTACTCTGTTGTACATCCCAGCTTCAGTTGCTGCACACCCCAAAAGTACCTCCAGCTAGAAAGCACATGACAAGGTCATTATTTGACGGGTTCCTCAGGCAAAACTTCCTCCATAAAGAAGGAGTTTGACCCTTCCCCAGACTGAGAAGAGGGAGTGTTCCTTCATTTTTGCCACCTAAGCACCTCTAAGTGGGGAGGAATAGGTACAGGTCTGGGCACCTCGCTACAGGTGGGTGTTCAATTATATATGATCCATGTGTATATATGATCCATAGATACATGATGCAAAATAAAAATAATGTTGGGTAGTTGTACAAATTTGATGGTCAACAGTGACTCCTCAGGAAAATTGCCATGTATGCTATTTAAGCCAGAATTCTTTTGGGTGTAAGTGACAGACATATGTGAACTAGGTCAGAGAGAGAAGGGCATCTGTTGGTTCATATAACCAGGAAGGATGAGGAAAGGAGTGACTCAGAGGCCTGAAACCCCCAGTTCATTTTTCCTCTCTGCCTCTTGTTTCTGCTTTTCTCTTCAAGTGGAGGGCAAGGCAGGATTTGGGGCCTCACGGTTCAGTTTCACCAGCAAAGAGGAAAGAAAGAATGTAACATGCATGTGTACACACACACACACACACACACACACACACACACACTCCAATCATATTTGGAAGATTTAGACAGCATATTGGAGGGCTGCAAAGGAACTCTTACCCCAAAAGAAGAGGGAGAGCACACACATGGCTCTTGTGGGAATCGTGCTGAGCCAGAAATAGATTATTTTCTCTTGAGGCTCCGTATTCTCCAGAATACATTAACGTCAGTTTGAGAAGCACAGACATATGTCATATGGTATCTCTGATGGCCTCAAATTTGAAGGCCCATAAAGATTTCTATGGTGAAACACTGTCTTTGTTCTCTGGTGGGACATTTTGATGGATGGCAAAAGCATCAGGAATCTGCGGGAGAAAGAGTTAAAAACCCTTTTTAGGAAAAAAAAAATTAAACAGTGTTGGGTTATGGGAAGAGAGAAAAGGATGAAAGGAGTAAAGTGAGAGAGAAGTGTCGGCATGAACCTGGGCATCACATTAAAATGTCCCTTATAGTGAAAAGACCAAGGAATCCCTAAAATTAGGAGATGTAACATTAAAGTTGAAATTTTTTGTGTTTCTGTGGTATAGATCCTATGACAATGAAAAATTAGGTGTTCTACAAAATACCATTTTCTTCCTGGGCGCAAAACTAGACTACATTTCCCAGCCTCTTTTGCAGTTAGGTACAGTCATGTGACTAGTTCTAGCCAGTGGAATGTTGGCAGGAGTGATGCCGCCACCTCCAGGCCTGGCTTACACAACTACCACCCTATCCTCCACACTCTTCCCTCTCCTGCAGGCTGGCTGCAGAAGATCGGGTAGAGGGCTCCATGACCCCAGCACATGTTAGAGCCACCAGATGAACAAAACCTCTGTGAACACCTGTATGGATCAGACCCCTTGCCATCTCCATGGGACTATGATATGAGTAAGAGACTATCCTTTCGCTATTGTTAAGTTTTTGCAGTAGAGACTTGTTTGTCATAGCAGTTAACTTATCCTGACAAGTGCAGACTTCATCCCCTACCCTCTCAGATCTTCAAAATACCTTCAAATGTCCTGTGAGAGTGGGAGTTCTGTGGCAATCATAAAGGAGGCTGAGTTTCACATGAGGGTTAGCATGGCATGGAACAGAAACCACATTTACAGGAAGCAGTATATTCCATAATGGAAACCCATTACAAAAGCAGGTGTTTGAGGCCAGAGGTGACCGTGAGAGCATAGACTCCCTGTGAATTTGCAGAAGTGCTGGAATGGGCTTTTACTTCCGCAGAGCATGGAATGAGGGAGGCTTTAGGAAACTTAACGAGATCTGAAGGGAATAACATGTGGATTATGTTGTTATTTTTTTGCGGTACAGGGTACTAGAAGTGAAAAAAAAGTTTTTGAATCACATGTCAAGGATGAAAACTGGGTGGATGGATGGAAACTGGATGGATGCTTCTGACCACAAAATCCTGAAATAATACTTAAATCACTTGGATGCTTACAGAATCATTTTACCTAGTGAAATCCCTGATAGACAGCTGAGTGGCGTCTGTTTAACTGGCTGTGAAACAGCACCCAGAATCTATACTTCCCTGGCTGTCCAGCCTAAATTAGAAACTCCCCATTTTTGTCACCCATTGCATGCTGTGGTTTTCCCTTAAGACATTAATTGGGTATTTATTATGGCATTAACTTTTTCAGTGTGTCTCCCCTGCTAGACTCTAAGCTACATGAGGACAAGGACTGTGTCTCTTTCATCCCCCAATATATACCTGGTACCTGGCATAGAGCCTGGCAAACATTCATGAATATTTGTTGCAACAAAACGAAATCTGTACCTGTGAGATCCTCAGATAAGCACCTGTTAGCCTCCGAGAATTCACCTTCTAACTTAGGTTTGACAGTCAGATATTTTTTAGCTATTTGATAATTTGAAAATGTATTATTACCTTTATGTAAAGAAAAACTGGCATTTATCATAGATGAATATAAGAGTTGTTATTATTATTATTGATAATATCTGCTTCTCCCTAGAAAATATGTGAATCCTTTTCCCATGGTTATAGCCTAGTCTGAGTTTCAAACTTAGAATGTCTCTTTCCCTTCAGTCCTGGCAGCACATTGTTAAGTAAATAGCCTTCCTGGCTGAACCTCAGCTGACCTGCCTACTGGAACCTTTCTTATCAGAGTTCCAGGAATGATCACTTTTGTTTTTTAAGAATAAGATACTGAAAGAGTATAGTGATATCCCCCTTTTTTTTTTCCCCTGATGGCTTTGTGTAAGTCTGGCAGTTCTTCCTCAAATAGTACAGCTTAAACTCATAATTGTGTTTTTCCTCATCATTTCCCACCTTCCCCCAGCCACTGGACTCCAGTCCAAATTCCTACCTTTGTACCTTTTTAGCAGGTTTTAATAATTTTTGTGAAAATTTATGTTGAATAAACACCCCTTTTCCTTTGTTTGCTTATAAGCTTTTGGGGCAGATTTCAGCAAATACCTACCAATTTTCTTTATTCCTTCATTCTGACATTAAGTCCCCGGGGTAATTATTGTTTTTTTAGAATAGGAGAAAACAATGAAGAAGAGTTATCTTAGTTTCTGACACAAAGAAGAAGATGCAGATCTGTGGTTGGAATGCTTAGGATTTAATTCCGAGGTGACACTTGATCAAATGTTCAGCACAGTTAGCCCTCAGTAAGTAGTAGCTTCTTGTTAACTTGATGACTTTCCAGAGCCTAATAATGAGGAAGATTATAAAGCCATTTCTAAGCTCAGAGGGAAAAAATGCCGTAATCTATAATCCATATCACTGTGAGTACAAGTCAGAGAAATGGGACGTCTTGCTCTGGATCTATAGTCTAATAAACTTAAGCAAGCTCAGAATAACTTAATTGAGTTGGTGAAGTTTACAGTGAAGCTGAACAGAAGTGAACTTTTGATGACTTTAAACATTGGTAGAGTCTCCAAATGTCATTTACTGCCAGTAGTGGCACTGTGCAATCCTGGAGCCCCCAGCAACATGTGGCAATTTTAATTCATTAAAACTAACTGAAATTTGGGGTGCTTTGTTGGTAGTCATAAGAGCATGAGACTCTTGATCTTAGGGTCATGAGTTTGAGCCCCACATTGGGTGTAGAAATAAATAAACTTAAAAAAAAAAACTAAATGAAACTTAAAATACAATTCCTTACATTTTAAGTACTTGGTAGCCATGTGTGCTATTGGCTACCCTGTTGGATAGCACAGACCCAGAACACTCTCATCATCTCAGAAAGTTCTACTGGACAGTGATGCTCTCTAGGAATAAATAAGTTAGAAAATTGTGCTAATGCTTAAAGTACATAAACTTATATGTAGCCCACAGTATCAGTATTTTACAAATATTCAATTAGTATGTACACTTTTTTGTTTTGTTTAGTGTGCACACTTTTCAGTCCTTGAAGAAAAATGTGTTGAACTGTCCCTGTGCTAGCCACTGAATATTTAAAGCGGGCTTTGTGGTTGAAACACTATGGCTGGTTTCAGTTGCTGGGGAATAAAGTGCAGAAATATGAAAATCAAAAGATTAACTCTTATCTTCTTGCAAGTGATAAAAAGAACTAGTCATCCTAGTTAGGGTTTTTGAGGCTGAGTAGGTATTTGGGGTTTGGAAGCTAGTCACTACTACATGAGCAACATTGCTAGCAAATATTTACCTCACAGTGAACAAACTAGAGCCATTAACCACCCTTTCTCCGTGTAATGTGCATAGAAGTGAATGAGGCTGATAAGCAAGTATTTATTGAGCTCTTTTTGTGTGCCTAGCTATATGAAGATACTAAGAAATTTTTAAAACACTTGCAACTGTATGTCTTGCATGAATAGACTTTCATCCAAATTTCAATAATTAGAAAAATTGTGTTCAACCTATTCTGCTCATTAAGATTTAAAATAACAATAATAGCCCCTAACATTGTTCAGTACTCATTATGTGCATCGTGGTCGGTACTTGACACACATCCATTTAACCCTGGAGACAACCCTGTAAGGTATTTTTATCCTTTAATAAATAAGGCAACAGCATTCAGAGGCATTGTCTTGTCTTCTGAGATCACACAGCTGGTCAGAGGCAAGCTGGCACTTGAGTCCAGATGTGTTCAACTCCAGAACCTGGTCCTTTAGCTGCTCCTGCATGTTATCCTTCCTATCCTTAAGACAGTTTGCAGAAACTAGGTCCAAAGGCAGAAATGCTTCTAGCTAATTATCAGTTGATCAGAAAAGTAAACCAGCCCTTCCTTCCATGCAGTTTGCTCCTTGGGATTGCTTTATGTTACAGACTTACTATCTCTTTGATCTTCTCAAAGGCTCATGTCCTCTGACCAAGCTGAGGATATGCTCCCATGTAGACTGTCTACTTTGGTGCATATACAATATATGTAGGAATAATGAAAACAGTGTTGCCAGACTTAGAAAGA